AGTTTACATTCCGGAACTAGGCGTTGATGGATAAAATTATGGGTACTGCCAGAGTCCACCAGAACTGTGATGGGTGTGGTATTAAGGGTGGTGGCTAACTGCATGGTAGACGTGGAGCCGATACCAGTCATAGCATGAAGAGATAGGGCTGGCTCAAACTGTTCTTCAGACTGGTCATCCTCTATAATGTCGATAAAGAATAATTTCTTACATTGATGGCCGCGAACCCATGGATCGTCACAGTTATAACAAAGGCCTTTTTCGCGGCGAACCGCTGCTTCTGCCCGAGAAATCCTTTTGAAGTTTGGATTAGAGGTGCGTCGGGATAAATTTGATTCCGCAGAACTAAGTACTGATTCTGAACGGGCAATTGATTGGGGTCGTAGAGGTAGGGCAGGCGAAGAATAGCCTACACTGTATTTGTGCTCCACGGCCCTGGCTAGCATCATTGCAGAATCCAGATCAAGAGGATCCTGGTATTCAACTTCCATACGTACAACCTCACGTAGCCCTGCGGTGAATATTTTTACTTGCATTCGGACAGAAATTCCCACGGTTCGAGCCAACATTTGTTGGATTGTTTCGATATAATTTTCTAATTCACCGGTCTGTCGTAGTTTTGCCAAGTCACCTTCTGGGTTCGAGCTACTTGGTGGGCCAAAGCGTTTGATACACCGACTGTAGAAATCGGTCCAAGAAATTGGTGAGGTATTTGTATCCAATTGATCAGCCCATAACTGCGCGGTACCTATCATATGGAAGGTCGCCAGACTGACGCGAGCTTGTGCTGGCGTGCGTTGCTGAATAAAGAAGCTCTCGCACCTTTTCAGCCATGATAGAGGATCGCCCTTCCCATCGAACTGTGGAAACTCAAGCTTCGAATATCTGGGAACGAAGGAGTCATCATGGTCATGGCGTGAAGAATCGACATCCCTTCTGCGGAAGAATCAGGGTGAACTGGAAGAAGTTTCCCCGTTCGCTTTTTGCACTGCTGCGGATAGAGCCTCCATCGCCGCCGGAAGGGTGGCTAGTTGCGCCATAGCGGTTTGCAAATCCGCCAATTGTTGTTCCAGAGTCAGTTGTCGTTGGTCCACGCTTTCAATCATTGTTTTCAACGATTCTGCCGATGTAGATTCTGTCCCCATCATCCCGGAAGCTGATACCAAGTTGTTAAGAGCTTTAGTTAATGATCTCATCCAAGGGCGTGAACGAGAAGAGCCGCAGGTAAACGATGGACTGTTTGAAGCTATTTTAATTGATTGGGAAGAGATAAACGAGACTAAAGGCTTAAGCGATAATTACTTTTCCCCGACCTAGTCAAGAGAACTCATAATCAACCAAAAGCTGTTTATTAAAATTACTGGGATCCCCTTAAATAGAAATTAAGGGTTTCCTAAAAACAATTAGGAAACTAGTTGCTAATTCAGACATAACTTCTAATAACGAAATAGGAATTAAAGAAGGACTAATTAAAATATTCCTAATATTAATATGACCATCCTAACTTGCTTAATCTTTCCCTTAGCCACTTGGATTAATCATCTCTGCTCCACGTTGTCCCCTGCGTGCATATGTGCGACCAAAGAATTGATCGCTAACATATTCGTAGAATCGTAGGTGGTATGCAAGTATTAGATGGTGAAAAGTTACTTCACTTCTCCACATCCAATAATTGCATGGCGTATATGGTTTGTAGCAAAACAATGTAGACCTATCCTTGCTCTATTTTGGGGTGGATGGAGTTCACTGGGACCACATTTTTCTTGTGGAATTTTTTCTGTCCGTTTCATGTTTTTTGACAATTGCTTCCTGGTATTGAACCCCAAATAAAGAATCAAGTATATTTGAGGTTCATGAGAATTGGTAGAATTATGGAGTGCAGAATGGATTAAGAAGAACTGACTGCCATGATGTATTTTCTTATCAGAGATGCCTTGGGTTAGAGCTTTCTTATTTAATGTGGTTTTATAGCTGATGATTTTGTTAAAGTTAATGACATTGGCACATAAAAAGTTAAGTAATGCCTACTGACGCATGGTAGTTGGATTTTGTATCCTAAACTCTTTTTGTGTTTGGTTAGGTGGACAGCCAATGCCAATGCTGGTGTACTTGAATCTCTTGGATACAAGGAGGGATTCAAAATTGATGTTGACATACCTGAAGGAACATGGGCAGATGCTCCATTCTTCCATGATGTTCTCATCTTTAACACGGGACACTGGTAATATTTGTGATTATTATTGTGACATCAATGAAAGTTCGTTGCATTGATTTGTATTTACAACGTGTGGTACCTCCTTTTGCATACACAATTTATATGGCTACTTATTTTCTGTTTTGTCTTAGGTGGTGGGCTCCTTCAAAGTTTGACCCGATAAAATCACCCATGCTTTTTTTCAAAGATGGGAAACCTGTGATGCCTCCTGTACTGCCCGAAACAGGCCTTGATTTAGTTCTTCAACACATGGTATATAGGATAGAAAAATATATATGGGCTAAACTTGAAAGAATGCATGGACGGTAGTGTTAATCTATCTTATGCATTTTCTTCATATATATAATAGAGCGTAAACAAATGTTGGAGTTGTGATTGATCTTATCTGTTTATCACTCTATATTGGCACTTGTATACTTGCAAATTTAGCCAAATCAGTAGAGCATTATTTGCATATTAGCATGGTTTTCTGCAGAATTCTAACTTAATTAATTGATGGACAAACTGGATGAGTTAGAGCATTTTTTGATTGCCGTAAATCTGTTGATAACTGAATCATAAATAAATGTTTAATCGAACCTATTTAACAAATTCGATTCATTATCTTATTGTCCCACTGTCATCTCAGCCAAATGTACCCTACCAAATGGGATCCTGATTTGTAATATAGAACTCATTCATAAAGCTCACATATTTTAGCATATGACTATTTTCCAGATATCATATGTAGAGGAAAGAATTCGGGAAAATGCCATCATATTATTTAGAACACAGTCCCCCAGGCATTTTGAGGGTGGTGATTGGGACCATGGTGGCTCCTGTCAGCGTTCACACCCATTGTCTCTTCAAGAGGTAACTCTATTACATTATGATGTTTATTGGGGGCGTCTGGTGGGCACGCTTCCTATGGGATTCAATCCAAAGTTGTATTATTTAGGTCAATTACAAAATGTTGGGGAAAAATCATCAAAACATATTCTACAGTTATTTGTTAAATACTGTGTAAATTGTAAATTGTAGATAACATATTAAATTCAATGATCAATTAGTATTTTGTGAAATTTGGTATTTTATCTCACGCTAATTCCTATATGTCATTTGCATCCTGGGTTATATTTTGTTTGATTTTGCACCCCATCCCATGTTTTGTTGTCTATGCACCTTATGGCTTATTTGCTTTTGAGTATGCATCCTCAGAAGGATGCACATTCAAATATAAGCATGAGTTGTCAAGTCAAGGATGGAAATATTGGGATACATGTAATACATATACCCAATTCCCTGGTTGGTTCCTGATTATTTTTAATATCAAGCAGACATGCACACGAATGAATATGCATGTATGTATGCGTATACGCCAGATTTTCCCACCATACATATATGTAAAAATCTTTCCATCATTTGCAATGGAGTCAAAGATTCATTATTTTTTGGCTTGAGAATATGATGGAATAAAGCAAAATGGCTCACTAAACTGTCTGCGCTTCTTTGTTATGAAGCAATAGTCAGTCCATGCAATTTTGAACGCGATTTTCACTATGGGTCATCCGGACACAGTCTCTCTGCGCTTTAATACAGGGGTAAAACTGCGTACATCCGACTCCCCCTTACCCCACCGTAGGTGGGAGCCTTTGCAGCACTGGGGTAAATGAAAAAAAAAACATATATGTAAAAATCGATCCTATATTTCGAGTGATCAATTTTTGGGAATTCAAAATTAGCACTTGATCCCAACCCTTAATGCTATGTATTACGTAGTATATATTTATATATTTGCTCATGGGTTACCACATTTCAGGTAGAAGATTTTTTCTCTCTCAAGAATAACGGAACTAATGGCGAGGCACGTCTTGTGAATCAACACCTTCACAAGAACTTACGTGGAACTAAATTTAGAATATTGGACATTACTCATATGAGTGAATTCAGAGCGGATGCCCATCCATCAACGGTAGGCGGGAAAAAACACGACGATTGCATGCATTGGTGCTTGCCTGGACTTACTGATACATGGAATGACTTGTTTGTAGCACATATTAATTCATTAACCATATAGAGCTCAGGAACTTAAGTGTGTTTTGCAGTTTGGATCTTTTGTATAACTGCCTTGATTCTCTGTAAATTTAGTCCCTTTTGTTTATCAAAATTATTTGATACCCTCATATGCATTCACTCCTTGATTCATTCTTTGACCGATTAACTATGACTAGTTCATTTTAAAATTTCCCATTGCCCACCTTATAAAAAGTAGTGAAATCTTACATCTATCTTAATTTGCTCCTACCAGAACTGTTTAATTTTTTTAACTTTTAATTTACACTTTTATAGTAGTTCCATTATGTACAATTCCTAGAGTTCCCTCCAAATGCAATTAAAGTCATTTAAAAATGGATTGGAAGAATTAAATAAAATGATCATCATTACCTAAAATACAAAGAGACTGTTTCTGAATGATACATTAAATAAAATAAGTGAAATATTTAGCAATATGATCAAAACTCAAAAGAGGATGATTCCCAGATTACATTTAGAAGTTTTTATCCTTGAAGGCTTGAATAGTAAAGGGAATAATAATTCCAATACCTCAAACTTTGAAGATGTGACTTGAATACCCTCAACTTGCAGGTGTGATTTTAAATTTTTAATATCATGAACTTTATGATATTTTTTTTTTAGTTCCATGGTATAGATTTTTTCTTCCAGAAATGCAAGTTTATGTAATTATATTTGATAAGTCAAGCTAATTTGATAACATCACCATCACATTTCCAAGGAGAACCCTCTTTAGTGTAAAAAACTGAGAGCCTGAGAGGGTTTCAAATTATAGGGCTCCCCTAAAGTGTACACATGCAGGATAAGGAATATCACCAATTCCACTGAGATTAAAGCGACAGGAAGATGAGCAGAACACATGAGAAGCTAACACTAAATCCATTGACTTCATCCATTTTCCGCAAAACAATAAAAATGGAGTTTGAAGAAGAAATTACACACTGCCTAGCAGTAAATATGAACAAAATGGGAAGGCTACATATAGCAAAAAAGAGGAAAATAATTGGTCAGACAACGCCAAGTGTACATTCATGAGGTGACCGATTGCAGGTCAACCAAAACATCCAACACCATCATAAAGTGACAAAATGAGATCAACAATTTGTTCACCTCCAAATGATCTGCATGAACAGAAGATAAAGATTTAATGGAACAGCAGAATTTATGAAACAGAGAAAGGTAGAAAATGTTGAAGAAAATACTCTACAACCCCTTCAAAACATGGAAGCGTAGTGTTACACCTTAAATGTTAATTCATTGCAAATGATAATTAGGATATTAAATGGGAAAAGGTGTACTCCCTCCAGCCCCAGAAAAAGACTTCTTTCAAAACTATTTTGTCCCCAAAAAATGAGTAGAGATAAAAAAAAACTAATTATTCATGTAATTCCCCAAGAAAATATGAAAACCCGAAAATATGTAACAAGACAAAGCCCATTTATGCAAAGCCAAATCGGCTTGAAGAGGACGTAGGGGGCTGTCCTCTTGAATGGCCAGCCAACAGCTTCTAAACGTATTCATGGTTAGCAACTATGAGCAGGAAAATCCTGAGGCTTGTTTCTAAATTGTAATTGTCTTAGTTTTCAGGGATGAATTGCAAATGTCTGGTAAATCAAAGAAGAGATATTAAAATGCCACCTCATTACAATTTGTAAAGGGTTTGGAAGTAAGCTTTGAAGTCCATCTCAACAATCAGATTTTTGCAGACCACTTGTAAGACAAAAACAAGTTATGTTAAATGAAGCCAAGTAGTAACATAATCATCATGGTATCAGGAGGACAAGACACTCTAGTTTTCTGAGCTTGCTTAAAAGGTCCTGGACAAGTGTTATTTGACGTTAACAGAAACATGCACTGTTCATCTCTAGTATGTTACCAATTTAAAGGTCCTGCAAATTCTTCAGCAACTATTTTCAATGCCATGTGTTGCCCTCTGCATTGGCACTGAATTGCACCCATGAGCACGCATGTGCGTCAGGTCATCTCTAGCAGCATTAACCGGAAAACTTCATAGTAATCTGTAATCTTGAACTTACAGTTATAGGTTCATACCTTTTCTTTTTTAAATCCTAAATCTCTCTTGAAGTCTTGTTCTTACTAATTGCATAATAAACATCTTTCAAACTTATCAAATTGGGCTTCGGCAGTTAAGTTGAGCTTTATGGGAATAAGCGTTGAGGATCATTTATCTAAGAAAGCTATTGAAATAGAATGTGAAAACTGAAAAGAATGTCCGAGAACAGGTTGACACTCAATTGTACTGGTATAGTTTCCATGTTTTGTCAGTTTAAACATGTTGTTCCTTATTGAAACAAGCTAAATCCCAGATGTTTGATTGCATATATCATCTATACTATTTTATATTGTCAATTTGTCATTAATTAAAAAAATGAATAATAGCAGGCCAAATATGCCAACAACAACAACATTCCCCCGTGCCGCAAAGGCTCCCACCTGCGATGAGGTGGGGGGGGTCAGGTGTACACAACCTTACCCCTGTACTTAAGCACAAAGAGAATATTTCCGGATGACTCATGATGAAAATTGCGTTGAAAAATGTATGAACTGATTGCTTATTCATAATAAAGTAGTGCATACAGTTTAGTGAGTCATTTTGCTTTATTCCATCATATTACCAAGTCAAAAAAAAATAGCAAGTCTTTGGCTCCAATGGAAATGATGGAAACAACAAACCAAATATGCCGAAGGAAAAAGTTCTGGGAATACTTCAAGCGCTTATGCAGAACACAACACTATTGCCTATTGATGGATCACTTAAATAGCAACCTCAATGTGAGAAGCATTGGATACTGGAGAAAAGAATAAGGGTTCTTGATATGAAGCAGAATCTGGGCTTGGAAGAAGAGGGGCAGAAGCCCCCGTGGGTTTACTGAAGGCGGGACGGGCTTGAACCCACCTTCGTGGGCTGGTTGCGGGCTGTTTAATTAATATTTTTTCTTTTTATTTTTCTTGATTTGTTTCCTTTTGAAGTTAATTAGGATTTCTAATATTTGTTTCCTATTAAGAGTTAATTAGGATTTCTATTATTTCTTTCCTATTTAAAGTTGATTAGGATCTTTATTATTTTGTTTCCTAGTTGGAGTTGATTAGGATTTCTAGGATTTTGTTTCCTAGTTTAAGAATTAGTAGATGAGTATTTAAACCCTTGTTAGGATTCATTCTGGCTCATTTTGGAATAAAAGTTGGTTTAGCCTTTTGGCTCTGGGCAACGGTATTTATTTATCGTTGATTATCTGGGCAACGGTTCACCCCGTTGATTTTATTTTTTCTGTTCTTATCAGTTCTGCAGCACGGCCCATGGTGAAAAGAATGTTCCTAGATACTGGAGAGGGGATTCAACAACTTTTACCAAAAGATTACCCTATTTGTTCATATACACCTTATGATTATTATTGTTAATTTTATCTTTCTTAAATGAAATTGTCAATTAACGCAAAAACTAAAACGGCCAGCTGACAAATAAGCATTTGATGGAATGACAGGTAAAACATACGTAGTAATATACGGAGTATAAGGTATAATCACGCTTTTCTATTAATCTCAAAAGTTTGAATCTTTTGAATCAAGAGGCTATTTGAATCTTTTTATGCCAACACTATTTCACGTTCTCAAAAGTTTCAGGATTAATGTCTCATTTTCCAAAAGGGAAAAGAAATGAAGTTTAATCCACACAGCCACAAGCAAAGCCCTAAACTCCAAAGCCAAATTTCTCAAGAAGATTAAATGATCAGTCTATTTCGTCCCCAGTGTCCCACTAGTGGTGACCATCTAGCCTCGCATATGGCTACTTTCTTCTGCAAAGTCGAGACCATGCATTAGTGTGAGAAAGGGTCTCCAATATCCGTGTTTTCATTGGAAGACATACATCAGTAGCATTTCATTAGTAATATCATGTTTTTTGGCATCTGTGTTTTGACTATTTATACAATGGATCAGGGTGAAGATGGTTTTGTTTCTGCCTAGCTAACTATGGCAACTTGGCAAGTTTTAAAAAAGCTAGAATGAGCTTAGGATAATTTACTTTAGACTCAGAAAGTGGAGGGTCGATGCAAACTGAGGCATAAGCATCAAATGTAAAATATAAAATACGCATACTAAATAGACATAAATTGATATGTTTTTGAAAATCATAAAAGAGAGTAATTGCAATTGAGAAAGAACACAAAATATTAATGAAGGGAAGAAATTAAGAATGTTCATATTGATTGACAAAAAAAAAAACCGCAGATAAGCTCAAAATGGTTCCATGGATCTACCAGTCACATAGAAAGGAGGCTAGAAACCCTATAAAATGCACATGCCATGGATTCAAAATCATAAAATATGTATTTTGTCCTTCCAGCAGATAACCTATAATGACCAATACCTGGGTCTTAACCCTTAACCTAACAGCAGGACAAGCAACTCAGTTCTTATAGGACAACCTATAATGCACACATTTTTCCCAACCCACATGGGACTGAAAGTTATAAAGATTGATCAGGATAGGGTAGGCCCTGAATCACGAAAATTTATACTACGTATGATCTCAGACTTAATAAGGATGATCAATTCACCTTGGCAAGGTCCAAGATTTGGTCAGCAAGTAACAACAAAAATTCACTTCAGGCCAGCAACTTTGCACCTTAGTTTCAAATTATGATTTTCCTGTAAACATTAAAAAACTTATATGTTAATCATTCAGAGTATAGCATAGTGGGTGCAATCCATATGGAGAAAACAATAATAAGAAAAAAGGTGCACATGAAATGCTTAATGCAGCACAGAAATTGTATTTCCCTTATGCAATGTTCTCACTTCTCACCTGCTCAAGAACTCTGGCAGAGGTCTTCTCCACCAGTCTGGACAAGCTGTCAAGCTTGGCAAGCATTTTCCCATACAACTGCTCTACTTCAGCAGTGTAATTGGCTGCATTAGACCCTAATAGGTTACTGAATCTGGCAGCTTCAAACCCCTCTGCACACTTATCCAATTCCTTTTGATCTTTCACTCCCTGTTGAATTCCATCCGGGTTCTCAGTTTTCTCATCCTCAACCATTGCATTGGAGCACCTCAAGTCACAGGTCAAAGAAGGAAATGGAGAGTTGGGACAGAAAGACTCGTAATGAGATCGGAAAAACGGGCCAATATTGATGATATCGAGGCTTTTCGGATCGAAAGAAGAGGTGGAAATCCGGTACTGGAAGGCCTTATACTCATGGGTGTGTATGAGCTGGTCCTGGAACGGCGTCGTAAGGAGGATGAAGATAGAAGGGGGGAGAGAGACGGAATGCGGGGAGTTCTGGGGAGTGATTGATAGAGAAGTGAGTGAGTTGAGGGACAAAGTAGTGATAGAGTCGTGAAGCGAGGGGCGGAGAGCGGTCCTCCGGCGGCCGGAGAACCAGCCGATGAGGGTTGAGGATGGCTCCTGACTGTGGGAATTGTAAGGGAGGGATAGGTGAGCAGGGACGGAGGTGAAGGACGTGACGATTGCAGTGAGGGTCGGGCCGCTGGAGCCGTCCGCGGCGGAGGAAGTGGAGGCGGAGGTGTCGTCGGAGAGAGAGTTTGTGGTGGAGAAAGACAGATTACCATAAAGAAGGCCGTGGAGGTCACCGGGAGCGGCGGAGAAACGGTGGAGGAGGGCGGCGAGGGTTGGGCCGGATATTTGTACCTTGTCGATTCCCGTGTCATCCATGGCTTCTCCAAAATCCAAATTATCCAAGCGCCAATTGATGGATGAATCGCTATAACCAAACTGCTAGTTAAGAACACTTCAATTCAGCTGCCATTCTTGAATGATTACTCTTTTTTCCAAAGTTCAAATCTTGTTACAGTTGTTGGCTTCATTGAACTTCTTGGTGTGATGTCACGCCAGATTGAATATATATTTTCCGGACCAGTTAACTTGCAAAAATCATTTGACGACCTTCTCGATTGAATTTTTGGCTGAAATTTGGTATGGATGAACTAGACTTGATGAGGAACCTACACAATAAAATTTGAGCAAAAAATACCACCGGGAAGGCCCCCAAATGGAGGAGGTCGGACGGGGCTCCGGTCAGGTATACCTGACCGGAAGAGTACTCTATATATAGATATATAGAGTATGCGCTATATATATACATATATATATAGAGTATTATTTAGGTCCGGTCAGGCCGGACCACTCTCCTGTCCGGCCATATCAATTTGAGGTGGTTCTTGGTGATATTTTTTGCCCAATTTTTTTGTAGATTCCTCATCAAGTCTAGTTCATCCATACCAAATTTGAGCAAAAAATTCAATCGGGAAGGTCGTCAAATGATTTTTGCAAGTTCACTGCGTTTTATATGTATATTCCGGACCAGTTAACTTGCAAAAATCATTTGACGACCTTCCCGATTGAATTTTTTGCTCAAATTTGATATGGATGAACTAGACTTGATGAGGAACATACACAAAAAATTTGAACCAAAAATACCACCGGAAACCACCTCAAATTGAGGTGGCCGGACGAGCCTCCTGTCCGGTCTGGACTATATATATATATATATATATATATATATATATATATATATATAAACATAGTGTCTATAAATAATTTATTTGATTATCCTTCTAGTTAAATTTTAAACTGAAATTTGGTGGAGATAGAGTAGACATCAAAAAATTATACTGGAAAGAGGTCCAAACGGATTCAGCCGAACGGTGAATCCTGTCAAATCGGCCTGACACAATCGCTACTCGTCACTCTAATTCTTAAGATGATATCATAGGCAAGTAGCAACTATTAAGTAAAACTATAACTAAAATAACAATCTTGTAGCAACTATTAAGTAAGACTATAACTAAAAATAACTCTCTCAATGAGAAGGTCAAAGAGCATATTTTACAAGACTCAAAGAGCATACTACGTATTTTATAAAAGAAGTGTGAGTACATCCCAAAAATAAAACTCAAAGAGCATATTTTATACTCAAAACTCAAAGAGCATATTTTATAAAATAAGTGTGAGTACATCCCAAAAATAAAAATCACCACAATATTCTATGTATCTTCATTCTTACAAACAATGTTTTTTATTGCCATTGATTTAGAAGTTTTTTTAAAATATTATAGAAATAAAACTTATTTACAAAATATGATTAATAATTACATAGTATTATAGTTTATAGTCACTTAAGTGTAAAAAATAAATACAATTTATTATCACTAAGTTTTTACTATAGTCACTATACCTAAGAAATCACCTTTTTAAATAACATTTATTTTAGTCATATTTATTTAATTATAACGTAATTATTAAAAAAATCATCAAATGTTACTCAAATATAAAATATGCATAAAAGTAACACTAAAGTTAATATGCGTGTGCCTTATCGTAGTCATTATAATAAAATATTAAACACGAACTACATTGTATGAACGTGATCGTTATTATTAAGGTAGACAATTCGATTTACAATACGATTTCTCTTAGTTTTGATTCGATACATGAACACAATTTTTTTAAAAAACCATACATGATTCCTTCTATAGAGTCATACTCCCTCCGTTTCTAAAAGAACCTCACACTTTCCTTTTTTGGATGTGCCAAAATAAAAGTCACACTTCCCTTATTTCCTTATTTGGCAAAGAAATCTACATCCAAACAGTGCCAAACAGTGCCAAACAGTGCCAAACAGTGTCCAAACAGTGCCAAACAGTGTCTAAACAGTGTTTTCTACAGTAAAGTCAATTTATTTCCTTAATAACTGTGAAGTCAAACCGTGACTTTCTTTTAGAAACGGAGGGAGTATGACCTATGCGACACATCCACGTCACCACACATTTTTTAGTAAAGATCTCCACCAAAACAATGTGTGTTGATGGTGATGTCACATAGGCCATATGACTCCATGGAGAAGTCATATATGGCTCCTTAAAACTTCCCCTAAAAAACAGGCATCTGTTTGATTCTTTATTCGCCTCATCTCCCATTCAGCTCACTCAGATTGTAAAAGACATATCAAGGATCAATCTTTTTTCTTGAAAACAGCATTGGTTTTAACAGGAGGATTAGATCTAGAATTCAAACATTAGAGTTACAGAGGTTTACAAGGCTAGAGGAGTTAAAGACTTTAAAGAAATGTTTATATTGAAGCCAAACAAGAGAACATATTTGTATTACATATTGGGCAAAGAAAAGGACTGGATCAAGAACATGAACAAATAAAATAACAAGCTCACTCCTCTTTCTATATATGCAACTTAACTACTCCAGCAAAAAACTGTGAAATAAAATACTAAACAAAGCACTTATTTTTTGAGCAGATGAATAAATGAATGAATAAAAATAAGTGAATACGTTGATAATGAAATGCAGCAAAAATAATTACCACAAGGCAATCACAATGTATATGATGTATACTCAGTAAGACTATTGTTACTCATCATCAGTTCTCTCTTGAACTGCAGCTGGGGAGCTGGGGTTTGTAGTGGCTGATGAAGAAGGCGCTGCAGCAAGCTCAGGCTTGATCTCCTCCAGCCTCTCAATAACTTGCTGAGCTTCGGGCCTAGTACCCGGAGTAGGGTCGACGCAATGGAGTGCCAGTTTCAACGTGTTAAGCAACTCTTCCCCTGCACTCGCTACATCCCTTATCAACTCCACATCAAACACCTCATTAGTCCACTCCTCCTTCACAATGGACGCCACCCAACCTGGCAAGTCCAACCCGCCCGTTGACTCGCTTGGCGATTTCCCTGTTAGCAGCTCCAGCATGATCACTCCTAGGCTGTACACATCCGTCTTCGTGCTCGCGTTCTTTAGCTTTGAGAACTCGGGTGCACGATAGCCTAATGTGCCAGCGGTTGCTATCACGTTTGTGTTCCCCGCGTTTGTCATCAACCTTGACAGCCCAACATCCCCTATCTTGGGGTTGTTTCCTTCATCAAGGAGAATGTTGCTTGAGGATAGATTTCCGTGGACTATTGTGTTCTCCTTCGCGTGGAGGTAGCACAAGCCCCGTGTTATCCCCATTGTGATGCTCATCCTCGTCGTCCAGTCTATCGATGTTTCAGGCCCTCTTGCTGTGTTGTGTAATATATAGTATAACACAAACAGTTAAAGAGCAACATACAATAAGCACTTTTACATTTCAAACAAATAAATTGATTAGAAAGAAGTACCAAACCCTTGCATTTTCATCTGTACCATGGAAGAGTTTTAGTTGATTTAGTTTTACTGCAACAGCAAAAAGTTTTTACAATACAAAATACTACAAAACTACTTAGAAATCAAAGTGGTGAAACATATTTTTCTGTTCAAATTTTCAAATTACCAAATACCAGTGTCACATTGTGGGAAGAAAAGGTTGTGATTCAAAAAATACAGGTCAGGCAAAGGATAGTTAGGTTCATAAACAAAAAAGCTCTTAGAACCTCATATTGAGATTAGCACATGTCTTCACTCCTTCAGTGCCTATTTATTTTCTTAGGCTAACCTCAGTACTTTTCTTCAAAACATACCCAGTAATGTCACCCCTTCCATTAAGTTAATATCAAGACAAATGGTAAGTTAAAGATACATTGACAAATGTATCACGGGAATAAACCTCTGATAATATTATATGACCTTAATGCATAGTGACCTATCAGCGCATACAGTGACCATGATGGTGGTAAAAGTGAGTGTATAATTGTATTTTTGAGAGCAAGGGTTCTTATATATCCATAACATGACAAGGATAAGTTTTTTTAAAAAAACTGTCTATATATCCATAAAATGAAGAGATCAAACAATAGGAACAGTAATGGAGAGGAAGAGAGTGAGTACATACCATGAAGAAAAGAGGAAAGGCTGCCATTAGATACATAATCATAGACAAGAAGCTTCTCACCCTTAGGACCCAAGTAATAGGCCCTAAGAGCTAAAATGTTGGGATGCCTGATTTTACCAAGATCAGAAACCTCATGCTCAAACTCTTTATACCCCTTTGTGATCTTCTCCCTTAGCCTCTTCACAGCTACTTGATTCCCATCCTCCAAAGTCGCCTTGTAAGCCGTCCCGTATGTGCTCTTCCCCATTATCTCCGCCGTCGCGCATAGCAAGTCATCAGCCGTAAACACGAAAGCGCCATCAAAATGCACTAGTTTTCCACCACCACCTTCACCCCCTCCACTACCTTCATTTTCAGAAGTTGCTTTTCCAGAAGAAGCCACAGCCCCTTCAGTGGCTGCTTTCTCACTTGTTCTATGTTTTGAACTCGCCTTCTTCTTGATCAAACAGATGAGCAATATGCAGCATAGGAGAAGCAGAATGATAGAAAGAACTCCAGCTAATATGAGGATAATGTCCTTTGTACTTACTTTCCGGTGTTGGACAGAAGAAGCCCCTTTTGAAGATGATGATGGAAGGTTTTGAGATGGAGGGGGAGAAGGGCAAGGAATGGAAGGGGCATATCCGCATAGCTGGATATTCCCAACAAAAGCACTTGAATTGTACTTCTTGGAAAGAAGAATTGGAACTGAACCAGAGAGGTCATTGTAGGAGACGTTTAAAGATGTCAGGTTTCTCAAGGACACAATAGATTCTGGGATTTCACCACTGAGGTTGTTCTTGGACAAATCAAGAAGGGTCAAGCCGGAAAGATTCCCTATGTTGACTGGGATCTGACCGGTCAACTTATTGTGATTCAAGTTCAGGGTTTTAAGAGCAGTTAGTTTGGAAAAAGTAGAAGGGAAGCCTCCACTAATCGCATTATGAGATAAATCCAGAACCAGAAGCCTAGACAGATGGCTGCCTAGTTCATCAGGTATGGTTCCAGAAAACTGGTTATGACTAAGGTTAATCTCTTCAACCAGACCTAACCTACTAAGGGAAACTGGAATCCTTCCAGAAAGAAGATTGTGATCAAGGGTCAAGGTTTGAAGCTTATTACTACTATTACTACTGCCACCCCAGGTGTCTGGAATAGAACCAGAGAGGTTATTTTGGTGAAGAGAAAGAAAGACCAGAGAAGAGGACTGAGTGAGACTGACTGGGATTGGGCCAGAAAGTGCATTGAAACTGAGATTGAGCCTATACAGGTTGCTGGGATTTGAGAGGATGGGAGGAATAGTGCCATTGAACTGATTGTTACTAAGATCAAGAGTCTGAAGAAGTGGGCATCTCCCAAGTGAGGGAGGGACCAGCCCAGAAAGGCGGTTATTGAAGAGATAAAGTCCTCTGAGGTTGGGAAGGAAGCCAAGAGAGGTGGGAATACTCCCAGCTAGGACATTGTCATGGAGGCTGAATTTTCTGAGAGCTTTCAATTCTCCAATCTTCTCGGAAATTCTTCCACCTAGACCTTTCCATGGAAGCTGTATGGCAATCACCTGACCCTTCACACATTTGATCCCAACCCACCCTCCGGAACAAGCTCCGATCATCCCGCCGCTTCCATTCCAGCTCTTCAGAACTCCTCTGAAATCAATCAGCTCATTCTTCAAGCCACTTAGCGCAGTATAATCCTTTGCAGTCACCATAACTCCATCCCAACTCCTGCTGCTCCAAGCAACCTGCAGAAAACTCAAAAACAGCAGCACGCCAGTAGTAAACAATAATACAACGTTGTTGTTCTTCCTTAGACTGTCCCCTTCCCCCATTGCAAGAGGAAATTTCCAAGACAAGAATCTGGGTGGGTGTTCTTTTTCTTTTTCGTTACTTCTCTCAAGCCTTTTCTCTTTGGGTTTAACTGATTTTGATACTGAATATGAACAAGAAGAAGAAGAAGAAGAGGAGGAGGCTTGGAAGAAAAATCTCTATCTATACAGAGAACCTATGGATACAGGGGTAGAACTAAATATTACAAGATGGGAGAGAGGTTTGGAAGAGGTGAGACTGAAGAAAGCATATGTGGAGAGGGAGAGAGAGAGAATTTAAGAAGTTAGTATAACAATGGGGAGAGGGTGAGAAGAAGAAGAGTCTGAAAGTTTTCAGGGTTTCTGGACCCAAGCTGCAACGGCTAGTGCAAGTATAAAAACGGTTTATCCGTTTACATTTTTAATTGTTTTTTAGTTTGTTGGTGTTATTATTATACTCCCATGTATGTACGAACCACGAAGTATGCTGTATGCTCCAAAGTAACATACTTGGTATATACTATGTTTGAGTAGCTTTTTTTTATAGACACTTGTATCAAATTGAATCATAATCTCGTTAAAATTGTCTCATACTTCATACTAATTTTTTTTTACATTTGTATGGTTTTAAATCATTATTACTATATTTTTATTTTATCAATTCAATATTAACTACATAAACAAACTTTTCTTAATAATCGCACCATCTGCTAATGTTGTTATTTTAGTGGGACGGAGGTAGTAGATTATAATAATTGTCAAATTAGATCATGGACAAATTATACTCAGTAGGTAGTATGTGAATGATAGAATTTGTGTGAAAATCATTTTGATTTTACACATATACATATTTCAATGGTGGACACAAAGGGAAAAATGCTTAGATTACTCAAAGAGTTAATATTACTCTCATCCTTTTTGGAAGTTGTCAATTTTGAATTAGGTGTGAAATAAGAAAAGTAGAATGTATGTGATTGATATTTGTGTATATGAGATAGAATGAGCAGACTAAAAATTACTACGAAAAGTTACTTTGATGAGAAAGTGACAAAGCTTTTGGAGCAATAAAAAATTGAGCATTTGTAAAGTCCAATAAGACGGAGGGAGTATATAGGAGTATATATGTATATAAGACTATTAATATTTATTGTTTTGCAATGACGTCCCTCTGATTTGAAAATCATTATCCCGCCACGGGTTGATTTGGAAATTTGTCAATGTAATTTACATAGATATCTGTGTCCAGTTGCACCGAACGGAATATCTGTATATTCATTTTTTTGCCCATAACAAATATTTCCTCATTTATTATGAGACATTTTTTGTTTGTGTAGGAGGATATCGATCTCTTGTGAAACTAGATTCTTTCCCATAGAAAAAAGGGATGACACTCCATCCTTGAGGTCTCCCACCAGACAGCTATTTGAAAGAAGGTAAGTTGAGCTTTGGTCACACATCGGTGAAAAGGGAATGAGTTTTATACCAAATCTTTGTATTAAGTTGACTCTGAGATCTATCATTTGTGACACTTTGTTCCTATCAGGTAAGCTACGTCCCACTGTTATAATCCCATAAACGTTATAACTTTTGGTTCAATTAATAAATAAAGTTATCTATTTAAACAATAAACACCACTTTACTTGCATCAAGCATTTATATAATTGATGATGCCATGGTTGATTGTTCTTTGATGGTGGATACTCTACTAGCCAGTACTTAATAATGTGGTCTAGGCAACGGCTATATGAGGCAACTACGGGCACGGTTCAGTCAACGAAAACATATGCTTATGAACCAATAAAGTATTGGTCGTTGTAAACGTTATAAATAAACTTGTGTGTGGCGTAAAGTGTGTGGCTCCCACGCTTACTGCACCCCACCTCATGTCCTGAAGTGTTCTTAAAATGTGATATGGGTAATTGGAAATATTTTTACCCCTCCTTAAAGTTTGCTCAATTTTAGTAACCTCTAGCTTGAGTAAATAGAAGTTATCTACTTCAAATTTACTCGTACAAAAGTGAAAATTTTCAAACATACTAATACTTTAAAGATGATTTTTTGGCACTTTCAATCCTCCGATGACTATTATGTCATTGACACGTTTGATACTCGACTTTGATTTTTTTCATTTTTAGTCATCGTCTAATATGATGCTATAGACACATAAGAGTCACACTTTTGATCTTCAACTATTGTAGTAGTGGCATTTTTAGTCCTACACTTATTGTGTCAAAATCATAATGAGATGACTAAAAGTATCAATTTGATAACGCTCAAGGGATTAAATACGGGAAACCTTGAAATCGGGGACTAGAAGTGTCTTTAACACAATACTCAGGACTAAAAATGAAAAATTAGAAGTCGAATATCAAAAGTGTCACTGATATAATAGTCGATGGGACCAAAAAGTGGCAAAATATTGGAAAAAAGTTTAGTGAGACGATGTGAGTACCTTTTAAATTAGTGGACATTTTTGCTTAAAGTTGGGTATTTTCATTTCTTTTTATTTATCTTGGACTACTATTTTCATGATCTGGTCATTTTATTTTAAAAGAATATTCAAATTACATATAGTGATTGTGTTTATTTTACATTTGATGCATCATTGCATCGTTTAAAGATATTCCTACGTTCGATGACAATCTTTCAAATAAAGACCACTATTGCGATTGTGTTGATTTCACATTTGATGTACTCATTCATACTACGTATTGTGAAAGCTACTGTGATGGAGTAAAAGGTCAACAAATGGCGACAATGAAAGCTACTTACATGGTGATAGCACTAAGATAATCTCTTACGCTTGTGGTCTATTCTACTTGAAGTGGCAAAAATATGGACATGGTCTATTATATATCCACTATGTAGGCCAGGCCAGACATTTAACACCAAGGGATTAAGGAGTAAGGAGGATCTATTTAGAAGGGGAAGGGAAAGCTCTATGCAATTAGACACGAAATAGTTCATTGTAGAAAGCCTTCTTCTTTGCATTTGCCAAATTAACTACACAAAATCTACGCACACACACAAAAAAACTACAAATTTTTGTATTGGAGAAATAATCTTCATTTAAAGTACATTTAAGTGATTTAACAATGTGGAACAACAATGCACATTGAGTGAGATGCCCTAATTATGCTATTACTTACCATTAGCCATATGTATATTGTTACGATTGAATGTGGATTTTTTGCGTTTCCATATTTTGTCATGTTAGTATATTTCAATTCAAAAATGCTAAAGGTACCCCAATTTGTACCTCAAATTGTACCCCCATCCTATTTTTGTGACTCACAAAAACAACTCATTAAATTGGAGCAATTCATTTATTAGAGTGGGCTTTTGTGAGCCGCACAAATAGGTTGAGGTACAAATTGGGATACAAAATGGGGTACCTATAGCAAGGTTGATTTCAATTTTTGTCAAGTTTTTATACTTAAATTTGTTGCTTTTCTTTCAAGAAATTGTGTTTTAGTCATTATAACTTTTACTCTTTATTTCAGATGGAAGTCAAGATTATCAAACTTACAATGTGGGAAGTAATCAAAACGAGCATGTATCCCCTAATGGGTACAAGGTTTAATTTACCCAATCAAGAAATAGCTTGTGGTCAAAGAGAAAAGAAATATATTAAGTGGAAATTAAAGGAAACTAAGTGGAAATTAAAGCCGAAGCCGTTAGAACTGTTCTAACATAATGGAAACAAAACGAGGATTAACGTCAAACATAATCCTCAATTAGAGGAATAATGCCACGAGAATGACAAGATACAACATAGATTCACGGCGAATAATAGACATTCTTACACATCTTAATGTGTGTTTCCAAGCTGGCAACCACTTTACGAACAATTAATCATGTTCCATTCTAACGGTCTTTAGAAAGTTGTGGCTCGTATATATGTATTTGGTTTGTTGTTTTTGTATTTCTTCATTATTGTGCTACATCCTGAATGAATAGTTCTTTAATTTGGCCAGTAAAATTACCATAATGTTAGGTTAACCTGATTATAGCTCGTGGTTATCCAGGGGCGGATCCAGGAATGAGGAGTGGGGTGGGCTAAACAGTAAAAATAGTTGTTACTACACACAAAAGGTTTAGCTTAATTAGAATTGTTATCAAGCTGAGATGTTTTTGAACTACTCGATTTTCAACGTGATTTTGAATTTAATTTAACCACCTGAGTTTAACGAGCTTTGAACTCGAAAACATACTAGATTTTGAGTTTGAATAGTTATTCAAGCCGAATTCGAGCTTACTAATGTTCGGTTCGATCCGGCTCTAGCATAAAAAATATATATACTTCTAAAATTTAACCGTTTTAGTAAGTTTTTAAAAATTTATTAATTAAAGATTTTAGTATTTCAAAATTCAACTAACTTTTTAATTCTTTCTTACATGTCCACACATGAAATAAATCACTTTCTAATCTTCAATTGTGTAATAAATAAATCATTCCCTAATATTTAATTCTATCTTTAATCATTATAAATTTACAATGAATAAACACTATTTTATTATATAATGCAAAATTGTATTAATAATCAAATTGATTTACAATCTAAAAATAACAAAGCTAAAACGAACACAGCGATACAATTGCTCCAGACCTTCCGTGTTAATCTATGTGTGTGTGTGTGTGTGTATGTATACATACATAATATTAAATGAAATAATTACATATTTATGACCAAAATAAGATTCTTTATAAAAACGTGATTAGTGACTAGATAGTATTAGAATAAAAATAAACTATGCTCACGTGTTAAATTTAAATTACCATTACACTAGATTGAATTAATGATTTGTTATATCTTTGTAAATAAATTTTATTTTAATTATATGTTTTTAAAAATCTCATATTATTACCGTAAAAAAATCTCATATTAAATTCTTAGATAGAAAATGATATTCTTTCATAATTTAATAATGATAGTACAATATAATCCAATTAAAAAGCATTATGTAAAGCTGGTTTGAACAAAATTTAAAATAGATTCTGATATAGATGGAAAATAAATATAGACATGAAATCAATTACAAAATCTTAAAGATGCAATAGAAATATACTTCCACATATAATATATGCGAATGAGAAGTATAATATCAGCCGAGTGTGTGCATTATTTTGTTAGTATTAATTGTTTAGTTAACTCATTAATTGATGGATAATAAACATTATAGTGTATTGGAGCTCAAATGGTACGTAATATATTTCTAAAAAGCAAGGCTTAGACCAACATGTGAATGTAGTTGAGTGGATGGGAATCCGAACATCATTCAGCTAGCTTAGGTTCGATTCCCGCGTGCGACTCTTCTTGAAGTGGGCCGTGTTTCATTTTTACGTGGGCTAGGAT